TCACTCAGCCAGCAGAGTGAAAATACAAACCTGGGTCTCCCCACATCAATCTGCAACTCTGACCACTGTGCAGTGCTGCCTCTACTGATCTGTAATGTTCCAGAGGTGTTGTAATGTAATACTCAGTTTCTCAAACGAATGTATGCCTTTCTGTTGGTCCACTTAGGAGTCTTGATCCTGGTTGTGTGGTGGGCTAGTTGTGGCAAATGGTAGGGAAGTATTTCTGTATTTCTGTATACAGTTGTAGGGGCTTTATTGCAATGTGGTATGGCCTGATATTATGTTCTTATTCCAGTGTGGGGTGTGTGTGGGGCAATGGAAGCTGAGTGATAGGGTCTCTCGAAGTGATTGCCAGAAATGAGATGTGTCCTGGTCTTGTGTCTTACAGATAATCTTACAAATAGTCCTTTGCATTTATATCATGCTTTCAACTTTAAAAGGATCATAATGCTGATTGTGTGAACTTAGGCAAATCACAAGAGGTAGAGCAGGAAGGGTTGCAGTGCTTAGGTCTTGTGGCCCTTTCTTACACGCCCAGGGAAATGCTGATTGCCACTTTGGGGCTAGGAAGCAATTTTTCTCCAGGCCAGTTTGGCCCCCAGTAATCCTGGAGGGTTTTTTATCATATTCTGGGCGTGGAACAGGGGTCACTGGGGTGTGTGGGGGGGGTATTGGTGAATTTCCTGCATTGTGCAGGGGGTTGGACTAGATGACCCTGGAGGTCCCTTCCCACTCTATGAGTCTATGAGTCTATAATTCACCCAGGCTGGCTGTGGGTACGCCAGCACCTCTGTCAGGCAGAAGAACCTGAGATCCTCCCCCTCCCCTTTTCCTTCACCCGACTTGGAGGCGAAGGGAAGGGAGAGGGGGGAAAGAATGGATCCCAGGTGCTTCTGCCTGTCAGAGGGGGTGGTGCACACGTCTGGTGATGTCAGGGGGTGTGGCATATGCTAATAAGTTATGCTAATGAGCTCCTGCAGCTCTTTTTCTACAAAATGACCTCGCCCCCAACTATTATTAAGGCTCCAGGGAATGGGGGGGGGCAGCAAGACCAGGGGTGCCCTCAGGGGGGGAAAACCAAAGTTGTGCAACCCTTGAAATCATCTTCTCAAGCTCAGGGCTTGTTCCTCAGTCCACTAGCTAATGGTTTCTGCACAGGGATTTGTTATCTTTGTAACCTTTCCTCCTAAATCTTTGCTTGATTTTTCAGCCTATGAGAAGCCAAAAAGAGAGTTGCTCCCAACTTTTTTAGGAGCAATTTTTTTTTTTGGTCAAAGTTCATCTGGAAAATGAGAGTAGTAAGGACTTACAGCTCCAGGTGATGAGCTTGGTTATGAGCAGGATGACTAGAAAGCATTTTACACGAAAAATATACCATAATAATAATTAATAACAATTAAAAGCAACAATTAACTCCACCTGCAGACATTTAGAAATGATTGTGGTTTCGGCAACTTTTTCATCTTTTGATTCATTATCTGAGAGTCAGATCAGATAGAATTGATCTTTCTGTGTCTTTTAAAAAGCATTTTTATCTATGTGGGGCAAAGCAGGGAGGAGCAAGAGGGGCTTTGCTTTAAACCCTTCCACTTCTCGATAGTTTTACTAATCACCCCCCCATCCTGCTATTAGACCTTTAAAGACCATGAGAACCAGCAAGACCCTGGAGGGACTGAATGGTTAAACACCCTCTCCCTGAACAGTAGAAACGGCTCTTTAACAATTGCTGGGAAGATCAGTGATGGACCTGCCAGTATCTCGCCTTCTAAGCAGTTCTGGGACTATGGTGGAATGAAATCTGAACTGATATTTCTGTATCTCACAGCAAGGTTTAAAACACTGGTTCAGCATCATAACTTCCCATCTATAGTTTCTCTAGATCTGATACGACATAGAAGTTAGTTCTTGCAAATGAAATGAGATAGGCTGCTTGTATAGTGCATCACTATGAATTCTGACCTGTATAGCTGCCAACAGGCCTGAAGAAAAATGCCCAGTCCTTAGAAGACTTAATGTGTGGAAATGGGCAGCTGAAAGTTTACATGGTAAATAACATTCCATTAAGCCTTCATTAATGTGATAGGACATTTTTTTCCCTAAGCAGTTGGCAACCCTCTTTGGCCTGCAACATGATAAGTAGCTGAAATACCAAGGGATATAAAAACCAAAAATGCCTTTTTCTGCCTTCATGTTTCTTGGGCCAGAGTCCAATTACAACAAACAGTTTGCAGATAATCTTCTTCCTACCTTCATAAGCTTCAAGGCCTAGAAAATCCTATGTCAGACCACATATAAACCTTTTTAATAACTCAGTGCCAAACCCCACATTTCGACATGACTGTAACTTGTCATTGGCAGTACTGGGTGACCCAGCTCTCATTAGCCTTTTAGATCATAGCCTCACCTGAACTGGTGATAATACTCTTTGATGATTTTCTGATGAAGGTAATGTGAAATACATAGGGATTGGAATACTATAAAAATATTTCCTCTTACCATAATTAGAATATAAAAATCTTTTTTTAAGCCTATGACTAATAAATATTATTTCTTACATCATTGACTTTTTTGCCTATATTGCTTCATTACTGGTGCAGCCTTTGTCCCCGTCCCCCCCCCCTTACCTGAATTGGCAAGAGCCAGGGCCTTGAGCGTGACAAATTCTTCCTTCTCCACCTTCAGCTTCTTGTACCTGCGCACCAGCTGCAGAATGGCCAGATAGAGCTCCAGCAGCCCCGTCAAACGAGAGTGTTCCTCATCCATGATGTAATCTTCAGCATAGACCAGCTTATCCTCATAGGGTAATGAGCGGTACACAATACCCAGGATGAGGATCTCCATCCAGGCACTCTGCAACAGGCTCATCTGGTCCCCCAGGGAAAGATTAGAAAAACCTGGCAGGACAAGAGAAGAGCAGATCATTTTAGGCAGACAAGGAGAGGGGGTATGAGTTGACACCGCTAGCCCCAGGTGCTGACGCTTAGAAAGATGGCAGAGGCTGCTGTTAGTACATTCAGTTATGGCAATAATCTGCCACTTTGGGACCCACTGACATAGCACTATATATTTGTTTGTGTGTGTGTGAGCAGCCATAGGAATGGGCATTAGAAAAGGAAGGCTGCACAGTATAGCCTGATCTCATCAGTATATCATTAATATTTCATATCTCGTCAATATATCATTAATATCTCATATACTTCTGAATTGAGTATTATTAACACCAAGAATACCAGAAACAAAGAACTTGCAGAACTCAAGACAGATTTATGACTTGCTCAAAGAGAATAAACAGGAAACTCTCTGCCAGAGCAATACCAACATTTGGTGAAACTGAAATATGAAGTTACTAAACTTCACTCTCAACAAACAGAATTTGACTTGACCTGTATAAAAGAGTCTTTTGGGGAGGCAGGAGAAAGAGCTGGAAAACTGCAGGCCTATTGCCTAAAACAGAAAGTAGAAGCACTATTCTGGTATTGTTAATTTCCCCCTTCCTCTGTTTAGGGCTAGGAAAGAGGGCGGGTCTATGGGATGGAAAGAGCTGTTTGATAATAAATGTTGTATGTTACATATTTAAAAGACAACAATAAATTATATTTTTTAAAAAAGTTAGATGACTAATCACTATGACAAATTGAAGGGGTAAAGCATGGGTGTCAAACATGTGGCCTGAGGGCCGGATCAGGCCCACAGTGGAACTGGCTGTCTTCTGCTTCTTCTTCCAGTGCTGCTGCGTCATCATAGGTTTGCAGCTTACAGATACACACCTGAACAGCATACTCAAGATTGCAAAAGCACAGACATTTTGATGCAATAATTCAGAGCAAGAGGTGTCAGTTATCAGACACTGTTAAATAAGCAAAATATTGCAAGAGTGCTAATGTTTTAAGCATGTTTTTATTTTAAGTTAAAAAAAACCTTTGTGTTTGTGTCCTTTATAAAGTTTATATCTCCGCTACCTGGCATTACATTTTATGACACACATGGCCCGGCCCAACAAGGTCTCATTTATGTCAGATCCGGCCCTCATAACAAATGAGTTCAACACCCCTGGGGTAAAGGGTCTGCAACGGAGCACTTAAATCAACCCAAACTTTTGTAAAAACCACTCATGCAAATTCTTTACCATTGCCTGTGTTCTTGTGTTTCATACAGCCACATACAAATTTAGATGAAAAAACTTCCTAATATACAACGTACAATTAAAAAATTGTATCCTTTTGTAGTACAAAATATATAATTAAAAGGTATCCTTTTGCAGGGACATGAAAGGATTTTTCACACTTCCTACCAAGGAATGGGCTTAAAGTCATTTTAGGCTTACATATATTTCATGCTAATTAGCATTCAGCAGCATTTAATCTGAGCCATCCATTTACTTTATGTCCGCGCTAGGAATAAGGCTCATTGTGGAAATAAATACAACAAGCGCTAGAAAGTGGCTCTGAGAGAGTGCCAAGGCTTTGGGCACTCAGCGTCAATGCGCTGTGGCAACCTCAGCAGAGTATAATGACACAGAGTCCACCATTTTCTCTAGAGGAACTGATCTCTGCTACCTGAAGAACAGTTGTAATTTTGAGTGATCTCCACCCCTCACCTGGAGATTGGCAACAATTGTTACCCAGGAGGGAATGGCTGGTTTGGAGGGTGGAGTCTATGGCATTTTACCTGTCTGAGGTCTCACCCCTCCTCAAACCTCACCCTCTCCAGGCTCCACCCCTCAAATCTCCATGAATTTCCCAACCTGGAGTTGGCAACCCTATCTCCTTCCCAGCCAAGCATCAACCTGCCATTATCTGCCCCTCTGATGTCCGCTTTCCATCTCCTCCCCCTCCCTCCTGGAGATCAGTTATAATTCTGAGTCATTTCCACCCCTCTTCTGAGATTGGTAGCAGTGGTTCCTCAGGAGGGAATGGCTGGGTGGGCAGGTAGAGTCTATTAGCACCACCCTGCCGTTATCTGCCCCTCTGATGTCAGCTTTCCATCCCCCCCCCTCCTGGAAATCAGTTATAATTCTGAGTGATTTTTACCCCTTTTCTGAGATTGGCAACAGTGGTTCCCCAGGAGGGAATGGCTGGTTGGGAGGGTGGAGTCTATGTCACTATACCTGTCTGAGGTCCCACCCCTCCTCAAACCTCACCCTCTCCAGGTTCCATCCCTCAAATCTCCAGGAATTTACCACATGGAGTTGGCAACTCTATCTTCTTTCCAGCCAATCATCAACCTACCTTTATTTCCCCCCTCATTCTTCAGCTTTCCATTTCCCCACACACACACACCTGCAGCCTCTTCCATGCTCTGAAGCCCTGGCTGCCACAGAGTCCACCATTTTCTCCAGGGGAACTGATCTCTGCCCACTGAAGAGCAGTTGTAATTCTGAGTGATCTCCAGCCCTCACCTGGAGATTGGCAACAATG